GGTGGGGTGTGGGTTGGGTTGGGTTGGGTTGGGTTGGGTTGGGTTGGGTTGGGTTGGGTTGGGTTGGGTTGGTTGGGTTGGGTTGGGTTGGGTTGGGTTGTTGGGTTGGGTTGGGTTGGGTTGGGTTGGTTGGTTGGTTGGTTGGTTGGTTCGTTGGTTGGTTGGTTGGTTGGTTGGTTGGGCGGGTGGGTGGGTGGGCGGGCGGGTGGGTGGTGGGGGTTGGTTTGGTGTGGGCTTTGGGTGGGTGAGTGCGGGTGGGGTGGGTTGGTTTGGTACGGGTTTGGGTTGGTGGGTGTGTGGGTGTGTGGGTGTGGGTGTGGGAATGTGAGAATGTGGGAATGTGGGAATGTGGGAATGTGGGCGGCCAACCAGCGCAGCTTGGTGATGGCGAAGCCCGAGGACAAAGGGGTATAACAGAAGTGGGGACAAACCCCTAGATCCCACAACCCTGAATGAAGCCACGAAACGTTTACACTTCAGCCAAGGAAGACTTGTCCAGCACATGGTGCTTCCAAATGGATGCTCAGCTGCAATGTTCTTGCCAAGAGCCCTAACCTGGGCAAATTCAAATTTACAGTTCCCTGAAAATTCCCCCTTTGTTCCTTTGATATTCCCCCCGGCGTTCCCCTATTCCTTGAGTCTCTTATCCCTAGCGTTCCCTCAGCATTCCCCCGGTAGTTCTTTGGCATTCCCCAAGTATTTCCCTCAGTGTTACCCTAGTATTTTCCTAGTATTCAGCCTTGGTACTTCCCTAGGTTCCCTCAATAATTCCCTAGCATTCCCAATAGTATTCCCTTAGTATCCATTTTCTCTTACCCCTAGTATTGTTTGTAGTATCATGATGAGAAGTAGAGATAGTCGAAGGAAGACGGCCGACAGAGTGGAACAAATGCTGCGACAGAAGCAGATCCAACTTTGGAACTCCTTTCAAACAGACCCGAAATTTCCTTGTTTCCCATCCTCCGCTCCTCCTGCTGCTGCATTCTACACACATGTTGTACATACTGAAAAAGCAAAAACATACACACACACACACACTTAAACTCCCGAAGGAGGAATCTCATCTTTCGACTGGGTGGGTTTTCGAGTGGCGGTTTCCGCGGGCAAAGAGGGGTCCGTTAAGTTGGGGTAGCCCACCAGCTGTCATCATAGACCCAGGTGCGGCTTGCAGGTACGTTTCACGAGAATCATGTGGGGTCTTCGTTGGCAGCCGCCCACATGCTTCTCCGGCTGCCCCCTGCTTTAACCCAAAAGACGGTGACAGGGCATTCTGTCACTCCGCACACACACACGCACACCAAACAAATGCTTGTAAGTTACACCCACTCAGGGCCTTGGCCTCTCAGAATGGCAGTCTGAATCTCGGGCAAGCTAGTCACCTAGTCATGCTTCCTTCAGTGGGCCCCATGGTTGCAGCAAAAAAAAAACTCGGAACAATGGCCCACTGGGCTGCTCAAAATGAAGCCTTGGCCAAGCCCACTCCAGAACCCTGCGGCAACACCCATCACATGGAGCCTGACTGAAGCTTGCTTCCATTCGACCCCACCCAAACTTCCAAGGGCTACAGTCTGGTCATTGCGCCGGCGCTTTGGAAGCCCGGACCGGGAAGACCTCTTAGCGGGAGGCTGACGAAAGGAATCGTTGGATAAGTTGAAGGCTTCGGTTTCAGAGGAGTCAAAAGCCTCGAAGGAACCGAGGCTCTGGGAGTCTCTTTGCAGATGCATCAGTATAGGCGATGCAGTTGCTTGACTTGTGGAAAATTACAGCACTAAATGCAAACTAAATTGACAGAAAACACAACCCACCCCCATACAATGACCACCAGAATATGAGCATGTTCCTCTATTTGTTGTCATTCTGTTGACTAAAAACCAACACTTGCTATCGTTTGATCGCCATCCTCCGTTGGACCAACCAGCCGAACAAAGGATGAGAGATGGAGAAAATTGATAGGAGATGTGTATTGATGCGGTGGATGGATAGCAATCCTTTACCATTTGGAAGGTGGGATATCCCAGCATATATCGGGCTTTCTCCGCCCCAACTGGCACAGGACTTTGTCACCCGCAGTAGCATTCACTGACCTTTCTTGTCTCTCACCATCTTCTCCGTTCCTTTCATCTCTTGCTAAGAATCGAGCGTGTGTTGTTGCACATGCTAACATGCAAGCGAGCAGTCCTGGGACAAAAACAACCAGCAAGACTTGTTTGGGCGGGTTGTTGTTTTTTCAATCCCAACGAAAGCCGAACCAAACCAATCGGCCAAGGAAGGGATCTAAATCGAAACCCCAAAGAAGCGTCAAGCGGCGGGCCGAAAAACTGCGGCGAAACGAGCAAGGGTTGGCCTTTTGAGGATTCTTTGAGTGAAGCCCCCTGGGTTTCAGTCTGCAAATCCAAAGTGCAACGCAAAGTGCGCCATACAAAGCGCAATGCCACCCAAAGCGCAACCCAGTTTGAAGCTTACTTTTGAGCGAGCCCCTATATTTGATATTTGTCCCAAGGTGAAACAGTTGTTGCCGCAGGCCTGTCCCAGCAAGCATGCCAGGATGTCACGGAGCTCGCCATGGCGCCGACCTGCAGAAAAAAGGGCGACATCTGAAGAAAAACAATGCAAACAAATCAAAGGGACAAGCAAACATAAATAAACAACCAACCAACCAACTAACCAAACAAACAACAAACAAGCAGGCAAGCAGGCAAGCAGGCAAGCAGGCAGGCAGGCAAGCAGGCAAGCAGGCAAGCAGGCAAGCAGGCAAGCAGTACAAAAGCAAAGAACGGCAACACCGAACCAAAGCAAACAACTGCAAACAAATGCAACAACAAATCAAAACAAACAACGGCAATCAAATGCAATGACAAATGAAAACAGACAACGGCAAACAAATGCAACGACACATCAAAAGCAAACAAACACAAACAAAGGCAAACAAGCAAACGTACAAACCAGCAAGCGAGCAAGCGAGCAAAAAGTAAAAGTAAAAGTAACAACAAAAGCAATCAAGCAAACACAACAAATCTAGTGCAGTCGTGTCAGGGTTGCGTTGGATGCCCTAAATATCACAAGTTGGAAAGCCCTCATTCTACGCCATGTAACCTGGTGTGATGATTGGATGCATGGCACCCCTGAAATAGATAAAGAATTAAAGCTCCAAACCGGGGCAAACACCCCCAAAACCTGACGGTCGCAGGTTGGGGCGGGTGAGGGAACCCTGGGACCCCTGCTCGATGAAACGGGGAATGTGTCCTATTTGAAGAGATCCGAGCCACTTTTGGGCCAACCCAACTCAACGAAAAAGACTCCGCCAGGTGGTTTAATCGGTCGACATGAAAGGGAAGGCAAAGGGGAAACCTGTTCTTTGCAGGTTTCTAAACATGCTTCCAGAACCGAAATTGTTTCCAGACCAGGCAATATCCCCGCCTCCTGGTACGCGGCCCTCGCCTCGAGCGCGATTGCATGTTGCCCCAGGGGCCCAAAAGAAAGGGAGCTCCAAAACACCAATCTTATTTTCCAGACCATCATAAAACTACTCCGTGTTGATCCAGTTTAGTTTGCTTTGCATGGTGTGCATGGCAGTGGGTGTGATTGATGTTCGGCCATGGGACATTTCTTGAAACGGTCAATGGCACTGGAGGTCAGGGCTTTGGATTTGCCGATTCTACTACACCAGTTACGGGGGATTCAAATTTCGCCGCTGACATTTTGACTTTCCCGGCGAGACAAGTTGAAGGTTTCAAAGGTTCGAGGATCTCAACCAACCAACCGCTATTTATTCTTTCAACGAAGTCAAAGGCGCTAAAAAGGAATTACTCACCTCTTGGGTTGGCGTTCCAAACATTCAGAATTATTGACAAAGCGTGCTTTGTCGAGATTGGGGTCCCCTCAAACGGGGGTGCTTCGGTTGATTTCCCAAAACAACCTGCATGACCCTCAGCACTCTGTGATAGGCGTCCCAAAGACATTCCCCCCCCCCCCCCGCTCAGCCCCTTCGAGGGATCCCCCACCACCCTGTTGCCATAGATATGACCCCGGTAGATGAAAAACCACCAGGTAAACAAGGAATCGCCATAGGTTGTCCACCAACCAGCAAGGACACCTATGCCCTCAGCTTCCCTTTTTTTGGTGATTTTGGATTGGTGGCGTGGTGAAGGAGGGGCTTCCCATTTGCCCTCTGCAAGACGCAGGGGTTCCTTTTCCCCACACCACCAATCCAAACCACGCACCAAGGGCAACTTGATTTTCCTGTGACACAAAAATGGCCATGGGTCCAAAGCGCGTAACCCCAGTGAACGTCCCAATCCCCACTGAAATAGACTAAAGTGGGTGGTGCACCTACCCCAAAATGGGATCCCATTGGCTTTGACCAGCCAAAGGATTCCAAGTCTTGGCCGCCGGCGCCGCCGGCGCCGCGGGTCTCAAAGCTGGGCTTCACTTCCAGGACCTTGTTGATGTACCTCGCGTCAGGAGTCGTCAGGGGAGGGTTCAGCGTTTCTGGCCTGAGCCGCCCCCCCCCCAAAAAAAAAAAAGAAGAGAGACAAACTTGTGGTTAACAATAAAGCACAACGGTCTTCCCGGAAAAGTATCAAGTCCAGGAACTCGAGTGAGATTTTGAGCCAGAGGGTCGCTGGTGTCTTCTTTCCCATTCAAGATACGAGCGGGCAAACCATACGTTTCCGCAATGGAAATCTAGTCCAACGTGCCTTCCCAAGTAGGCTTTGGCCATCTGGTGATGTAGCGCAGTGATGCTGCAAACCCGGCCGCCCCCTTGTGTTTTGTGGGAACACAAGGGTTTGCTCGCAATCCCTGGCACGTTGGGGTAGCAAACGAAAGCATAAATTGATTGTCGGCCCTTGAAGGTTGGCAATCCTTGGTAATGCTTTAGGAACAGTTCTCAGCAACTCTGAACAAGAGCCATCGGATGAGACTTGCAAACCCAAGACTTGAACGTCACTAAACGTCGCAGAGCACCTCTTTCTGTTCATTTGCTTTCCCCGCCAGCTACGATCCTAACCCGATTTTTGAGCTCGGGGCCGGGGCAAATAACTCTCCTTCTGAGTGAATCATAATATTTTAAACCACCATTTGAAATTAATTCGGTCGTGTGAGGTCGTTCTGACTCACCCAGTCTCCTTGGACCTAGACGTATACGTCTTTCAACTGCACAACCCAAGCGCCACAACCCTCGAAGCGCGGCCCTTCGGGCACTCCATCTCGAACCTGGGTACCTCCTTCACCACCTGCTGCGTCATCTCTTGGGGCATCTCCCGGACCGCCTCGGCCACCTGCGAGAAGGCTCGCTCGGTCGGTCCAATGTGCCTAAGGATTGTCATCCAAATGGGTATGGGTCTACATTCAACCACCAGGATATGGACCGCAGGTTTTTGTCTACTTTTTTATTTATCAGTGTTTGTTTTGGGTACCTACTTTTGACCCACAGCCAAATTGGGACCCTCCCTTGCTTTTGTGTGCGTGTTGCCAAAAGATGGGAACCCTGTGTTAGTGTGTTGCTAAACCAGTTTGCAGTCCCCAGATCAAGACTGCGTTGGTGATGCTTTTGGCACGTTTTGCTGACGGGCAGAAAGTGAAGCAAACAAGCATAGACCCCAGATGACAACAAATTAGTTGGGGTGTCAAAAAGACAGTCCTGACAACCCTCAAATGCTAGTAGACGTACAAGACGAAGTGGAACAAAATTGAGCATGCATCAAACAGAAGCCTGTGCACTTCAGGGTCACTACTCTACTTCTCCTTGGCACTTTGCTCTTGGCTGGCCCTGGTGGCTGGCGGAAACGGCTTCACAAACCTGACAAAAGAAACCCCATTTTGTTGAAGGGCCCCTGGTCATGCCAGCAATGATGGTTTTCCAGATGGGGGGGGGTCGCTCTTTAAAATGGGCACCATAAAGATCGTTGCACTAAACCTCTACTGGAAAAACCCATTTTGCAGGCTGGGAAAGCCTTCGTTTCGGGGATACGTTTTCCCGACATGTCCAAGGAGCGCAGTAGATGGCACTGGCAAAAGGGGAGCTCGCAGATCAACCACATGCAAATCGATGCAAGCCTCGCTCGGGCAACAAGTCCGTGCTGCCGCACTAACTTGCGCCAGCTTGAATGCCAGCGAGCTCTGCCTTTCTTGGCGGAGCGCAAGGTGATGCAGATCAGTGTACTGATCTGCAAGCTGGAGCCATCACATTCCACCCAGATCGCTCTGTGATAACTATCGGTTTTGGGTCCCATCTCAATGATTGCGGTTGCCACTTCAAAGGGGATCCAAAGCAAATTATCATGGAACCCGAAGGGGATCCTTTCCCCAGAAAGGATAGTCCTCAACAAATAAGGGCTTTTTTTGGGCTCCACGGCAAACATACTAAGCTGCAGGGGCGAACCAACCTCCACCACCCTCAACCACCCTAAACCCACCCTATACCCACCCTAAATCCACCCTATACCCACCCTAAACCCACCCTAAACCCACCCTAGACGAACCCTAAGCCCACCCTAAACCCACAAACCAACCCACCCTAAATGTACCACCCGAAAGACCCACCCCGAGAAAGTCGCCTGGACCTGCGGCACTTCGGTGATGACCTCCCGGCGGGTGACCATCGGCACCTCCACCACCTGCGTCCGGCGCCTTTTGCCACGGGTGAAAAAGCAAATGGCTAGAACAAGGGTACTTTAGTAGGGGAACCCTCCTCCAAAAAAGGGTAAAAGGGCACTGGGGGACCTAGAATGGCATTCAAAGTGGGCAGAAGTCCGTGGCCTAGTCTTGGTTGACGCTGGAAGGGGAGCAACAATTCAATTTTTAGCGGTGAAGTGGTTGGATTTCAACCACTAAACCACACTAAGGAAAAATGAAAAATGTTTCCCAACAACAACCATGTAGTGCGAAGCAAATGCCAGACATGCACAACTCCATCATGGAATTGTCAGTCCCTGTACTTGTCTAAGAAAATTGCGCCATCTTTCACCCTACTCTTCAGGTTCCGAAAAGCCTCTTGGCTGCGCGGTTATGGTTTCAAACAAAACGCCCAAAGGTCGCTTAAAACCAGATAGTAGCCATTGCATGGGTCCTGGCAGCTGCAGTTGAGGAAAATCCGCATTTCTCTAATAGCAGAACGAGATCCCCGTCCCTATGACTACTGAACCTCACTTGGGTTCTGTTGGAAAGTGGCAGCCCAACACCCTGGGCTGGTGAGGGCAACACCCTTGCCGCTCGGAGTGCTGAAGTTTGCAACTTTTGGATGACTGAAGCAACCTGGCAGTGCACAGTGTGTCAACTCACGGCAGGCTGGGAACTTGGCTTGAGGGAAAGTCAATTCTCAGGCAATCCAAGGATCGCCGTGGAGTATTCCCTTCATGAGCCCCTCCATTCAAAATGAGACCTGTGGCGCCTAAAAAAGCTCAAAAGCTAATAAGGTTGGTTCTGGCCCATATCGAGGGAACCTTAAAACGCGACACGACTTGAAAGAGATCCCTGCTCTTCCATTGGCTTAAGCCCATTGGGAAAAATATGTCCAGTAGTGATCGATTCCTTTTAAAACCAACAGGGTAAAAGAAAACAACATATTCTTGAACAAATGGAATTACTGTAGATGCACAAAGTCCTTCAGTGATGGATGAACCTCAACTGCGTGGAAATGGGGGACATCCACCAGACCTCGTGGTCAAAACCGGTGCCAACTGGCAGACAGGCCTTCTCCACGGCTTGTGTCTCAAAGAAGGGCACCTGCTTCTCCACCTGCTCCACGATAGGCTTCGGCACCTGGCATGGACCAACCGGGAAAGTGTCTGGTTTTGATGAAGAAAAAAACCTTCACCCTATCCCCCGTGCGTGGCCGAATCTAACTGGCGCAACTCCTTCGGTGAATGCTTCATGCATGGGCTCGAACCAATGGGTTCCTGCGACTCCGCTTTGGATGAACGAATGTCCATTGGGGCAATGCAAACCTTCAGCAACCACAGACCCTAACCCTCACTTTTCAAGGGAGGGCTGTTTAGACTTGCCCTATGTCTCACGTTCCCAAAAAGGAGGGGGCCAAAAGGAGCTCAGTACCCAATCATAGCAATTTCAGCGGAATCTCCTCTGGCAAGGAGTTCCTTTCTGGGTTCCTTCCGTTCACATGGGGAGTTGGATCGGTTGGGTTTGGTGCGCTCTTTCCAACAACCATGCTGAAAGACAATTTTCCTCCAACAGGAGCCTTCTGACACCTGCTAGGTTCCATGTTCGACATGAATGTACAACCCCTTTCCATCGTTCACGAGAAACGTGTTCGTATCCCTCGCACCAACCATCAAATGTAGTTTCCGTTGGGCCTGCGGGCAACCTAGCCCGGGACTAGGGGCCGGCTGAAGGACCAGCATGGTGAACTCGGTTTCCCGGGTGAGCTCGCCATAGAAAATCGGCAAACTCCTTCAAACCCCTTCTAACCCCAGCAAAGTGCCCCAAAATCCCAGGACATCCCAAAAGACCCATGGCCGAAACGAAGGCATTTAGGTCCCATCCAAGGCCTGCCGGATGACGTCCACTGTCTGTACGCGGTCCACTGCCACAACAGTCTCCTGGCGGCCACCCGCCTTTTCGCCAGCGCACCCCCCTTTTCGCCAGCTATGGGGAAACCTAAGCACCATGGCAAGCCTTTGAGTTGGTGTCCTCAGTTTTGATTTGGGTAGGGGGTCTAAATGATTGCTTCCCTGAACTTGCTGGTTCTCAGCAGGGAATGAGGGAACGCCCCCTATAAACCCTCCCCTATGATTTCCTTTAATGGAATCCCTAGCTTCGTTCCAAACCTGGATTTTTCCCCACCGAGCACCAGCTAGTGAAGTAATTGTGCTTAGTACCCCACGGGGCCCCATTCTGAGAAGGGACCCAAACGTAGCGGAGTTCATCATCGCAATACCCACTCTTCAACGATCAAATTCATGTCCTCCGTAGCCCGTTGGCCCTCTTTGGACTTCCGAGCAATGCATGATGTCCAAAGGGACCGGGACCTGGTGCTGGGCGTTTTGGCTTCCCTTGCCACAAACAGAGTACCAAACAATTCTTGACCTATTTCTCTGAGAACACATTGAGGCGTTTCCTTTGTACCCGAGCGACTGTGCACCAAGCCTGTGGGAGCTTGGGGAACCAAAGGAAATCGATGCCCGTTCCGCAGTCCCTCAGGGTCCGTCCACAAAGATCCTGCTCAATCTGATTTGGCCCTATTTGGATTGATTTGGCCTTATTTGACCTTATTTATTGGACTTGCTTGACCATTTCTGGCCTTGCTTGGTCTTGTTTGACTTTATTTGGCTATTAGGGGGCGCTGCGGGGGGGCTGAGCAGGAGCCATCTTGGAGGATCCTCCTCTGCGGAACCGCACGCGCACGCATGGTAGGACTGCCAAAAGGACCGGGCTTACTTTTGGGACGAAGCGACGAAGCAACGAAGCGAAGAGCGAGACCTCCGAAACAATTGAAAGGTCCATTCGTTTTGGCGAATTTTGAGTATCTCGGACGTGACTCGGTGCCTCAACCCCCCATACTCTCTACTTCTTGGCATGGTTGTGGACAATGACCCTTTCCCACTTTATCATTTCAAGAAGGCTTCATACAGAAAGTGGCACAGGTATATCAACTTTCCACCTGGCAAAGCAAGCAAACCTAAGCGCTTGTGGTACCAACTGATCCCACCAGAGTCGGTTGCATTCCCCGCCTGTTGGACGGCCACCGAGGTCTCCTCTAACCTCTCTTGGATCTCCAGGTGGTACTGGCACGCAATGGAAACCGTTTGAATCTGAGCATGTTGGCCCAATGAGCCATCCCCCTTTGTTTCCCTGAGCAAGCTGAAGCTTCTTCGCGAAGTCGCACCCAGTTCTGTGCGTCCGTGTCTGTGTGTGGGCGTATGCATAACTTATGAGTATGTGTATGCGGATTAGACTCTTCCAACTTTTGAGTGGGGCCTTGGGGTCACTGGTTGGCCTCACATGTCTCAGCGCCCCATGTGTTTGGCGCGTGCCTTGCTTTCCGAGTGCTTTGCAATACTTTACCAACCTCAAAGAGGGACCCGCAAGAAAGGAACCGTCAAGTCGCAAACTCGCGAAAGTCGCCACTTGCCCACATTGGAAGCGGTCAAGGGGGCCGCGTTTGTCGGTTCATTCTGCGCAAAGTCACCAATAGAAGGGAAGTGGACTGGAGGGGCGAAGAAAACCTGGGCATGTGTCAAACTAGGCAAATCACAACGAAACAAAATCGCAGTCCCATGCAGCGAATCCGATTTGCAGATGCGATGCCTTGGGCACTTCCTTGGGTATGGCCTGGTACCTCGGCCAGCGGTGAGAGGACACTCCCTCCAAAACACGACCCCCGATTTTGAACCTTGCTGGTTAGAGGGGGGGTGTTACCCTAAAAGTGCCTTTAAGGTTTTCCACGACAAGCACATCCTTAGTCAGGTGGTGACCAGGGAGGCATGCGAGCCATGGCCAAAAAAGCTAAAAGCATGTGGCACGGACAACATGAACCTTTACATTGGTTCTCCAAAGCCCCTAGTAGGTCGACGGCCATCCCTACCAACTCCAAGTGAAGGGGTCTCTTGACCATAGTGCATGTGAGAATAGGGGTGCTATTCCCTGGTTTCGGCTTGAATTCAGTTGCTCGTCCAATGCGCCGAACCCCAAAAGGACCACCTCGTTTGCCCGAAACTGGCTCCACATCCATTTGCTTGTGCCCCATATTCACCAGTCATCACCTAACGTGGCGAGTACCAGCAAGTAACAAAGAATGCCAAACGAACAGTACTCATCAATACAGCCTCCCAATCTAACAAGAAACTCAACCTTCTTGACACATCTTGCGGACCAAACAAGCCCACAAATATGATCAACCCCAATCAACCCCCAATCAACAGCAACCAACCCAATCAGAACAGACCAAATAAATAACCATTTCAGAAAATGGACTGAACAAACCTATCAAGCCTATCATAATCATGGACCAAGCCAAGAGTTGCTCTAAGGGCCCTGGACATTTGGTGGGCAAAGCGACATCCAAGGAAACCAACACATTTCTCCGCCCTTGGTGTTTGCTCATCTTTTGAAGGGTCAAGGCAATTGCTAAGACGCAGTGCGGGCGACATCCCAAATCAATTTTGCTGACTCTTCGAGGCGTGCGTCTGGCTTCGCACTTCGGGACTCGTTCCCAACGTGAGCATGTTGTTTGAACCCCCGCGGCGCCAGCTTCGATGTTGTCTTTTCTGAGTGGAATGGGAGCGGTCCAGAAGGAATCCCCTTTGGGAAATGGTGGGAGAATTTTCCCCCAGGTCCCTCCCAAGGAGACTTCATAGGCTGGGAACCTTGATCGGGGTCCGTGACCCGCTCTTGAGGCCTGCCGGGATGGCAGACCTTACCCCGGGCTTAACCCCCCCCCCCCCCCGGCCCAATCGACCCCTGGAGTGCACCCCCCAAAGCGCCAATAAACCCATACAAGCATAGGTGTCCTTTTGGTAAAGTAGGCCCTGGCAAACGAAATGAAACCAATCTAAGCCAGTGAAACCCATCGTAGTTCTACCCAAACTGACCTGACAAGGACATGCATACAAAGAGGCCGCCCAACAGACCTGTCACCTTTTTGGGAACTTCTTGGGCCTAAGGCGCCCGGCTCTGGCTTGGGCACCTCAGTAATCATCTCCACCATCTGCACCTGCGGCACCTGCCATGGGATCGATCCCTCACTCCCCTCCCTGGGGTCCTCCGGTCTAGGGTGACCAGGGAAACCCTCCAAACAGATTTGACTTGTTGCACCGCCATGGAAAAGAGCTATACCCCTGGTCACTTTGGGGCCAGGAATATTGGCCAACCCCCATAGGCCCATAGGTCTGGCTTTGGTGCAAGGGAGGGGGGTTGAATCCAATGACAAGAAGAGCCCAGGATTGATTGGGTGAATCTGCACATCTAAATCAGAACAAACAAAAAACAGCTTCTGAAGTATCACAAGTCCCCCTGAGAAGGAACTGCTTGTCACGTGGCCCGATTTTGTCGCAAGCCAAAACCCTATGTGAGATCGGCCACTTTCCTTCCTCCGAAAATTGCTCAGGCCTATCATCGTCACTAGCAAGCGACACATGGGCCAAGGACAACTCTTGTCCCCCAACTTCTCCCTGTAAGTTAGCGGTGGATTCCACCTTAGGGATGGAATGCACTCCAGACAAAACCCGAAAAAGCTGCCACTGCAGAGAGAGAATCGTAGGTGTCATCGAAATTGAGGGGCCAACAGGACGGTGGCAAGTTGTTGGCGATAGCTCCTCTGGACCATGTTGGAGCGTTTTGACGTCCCTCGTAAATGGCAAAAGTGTTGGTTCTCCCAATATGCGATGTCAACTACTACTTTTAACCCAACACGTACTGTCCGGCTCTTCGCAGGACAAATGGCTACCTTGTTTACGTGGGATGCTGATTGATTTCGGGCTGCGCCGCCCGGCACGTGTCAAACATTTGGGGTGCTCCCAGAATGCTGGAAAAGGTCTTTGGTTTCTCTTTGAGCCACCCAAAAAGAAGGTGCCTTTCAAAACCACAGTTCACTCCTTGAGTGGATTGCCCAACAAAAGCCTGAGCTTTGTATTTACCACACAAACGGTCTTCCCAACAGGTATAAAGTCCAGGAACGGCAGGAGGTGAGACACGGACCCGCATTTTGTCCCACCAAACCCTGATCCCGGTCCCGCGTCCCGACCTCCACCGCCACCTCCTGCTGGACCACTGTAGGTATCTCGTGCACCTCCGCTCGAAATTCCGCGGGATGCGCGGAGCCGGCGCTTTTGGCCGAAGACCAACTCAAGATTGCTCGGTGGCTCCCATTCGCGACCGCGAAGACTGTTGGCATGGTGGAAACCACATCAAAACCTTACCCAATCTCCCGGGCGGCTGGGTCATCTTTGGTGAGTTTCTCGGGCCCTTTCTTTGGACTTGGGCCTTGGAAGTCTGAATCAAACGCCGGTACCAAAGAAGCCCTGCCCCCAAAAGAATTGCACGGGGAGTGTCCAAACTATACTTCACTGGGCTGTCCTCAGATCCCCTGCCACATTTCGGAAAATGTTGGCCGACTCAATCGAAACTACCACTAAACCCCAAAAATATCAAAACGCAAGGGACCGGATCTCCATCAGTTGTCACGCCTCGCGACCTCGGAACTCACTGGTCAGATTCTTAAGGGTTACAAGGCTTGTGAGGCAGTCCTTCGAAGGTTGATGCCACCCCGGTTCGTGGCATGGGCGGATTGGCATGGAATCGATTTGAGAGGTGTCTTTGAAGGGCAAATGGCAACCACAGAGGCGACCCCCTGCCTGAGGTAGGGCAAGGTTTGTGACCGATGCATGTGACCTGTGTCGGGAAGAGCCCCAGCCTTCTCAAAGTACTGCATGATGTGCTTCGGCACCTGAACTCAGGCCGGACCCGACAGACAGAATCAAAACAAGTGCCACTCAAGCGGCGGTCTCCCAAAGACGGGGGGTTAACCCAACCAATGCAAGGGCACCAAAGCCTCTTCTCAAGTCGCTGATGTGCTCTGAGTGATTCTTCATGCCGGAATCAATCAAAAACTTCGCCATGGGTGTCCTTTTGGTAAAGCAGATGGCCCTGGTAGATGAAATGAAACCGATGGTCTACCGGTCTACCAGGGCCCTGTACTTCTCCACTAAACTGAACAAAATGGACACCAATGAAAGCAGCCTGCGCTACACCCAAACATCATGATCCGATGGGATCGGGCAAAACGAAGCCTGAGATTCGCGAAAATGCTCACTCCGCCAGCTCGGCCCAGGCATGTCAGCAACAACAAAAAGGCGTCCAGGCTACCCCCCGGCTCACACAAAAGTGGTTACAGAACCAAAAAGGGTCAGACCGCAAAACAAAAAAAATGTGTGAACCAAGAACTGTGAAGCTAGGGTTCGAGAGCAGGGCAAAAGAGAAGGTGGTGCCCGCACAGGCCTTTCTTGTCTCGCAACCTAAGCGAAGCGATCTAGCAATAGGGACCCCCAAGAGACCACTTCATCCTGTGTTCATCCCCAAGGTTCTACTTAGTTCGGGGCCAAGATTAGCCAGGCACAGCTGGAGAACGCCTGCCGTTCTATTACTTGCAGTTCTGCTGAACCATTTCTCGGTTGCCCAAAGCACCGCGAAACAGGTTGACCTTTTGGGGCGATGACTAAAACTGCACCTCGACAAGGGGATACCAAACAGTCAAAGGTCGATTCGCTTTGGGCAAGAGAGATTTTTGTTTCAGGGTGCGCAAAGGCTTCATAAAGCCCATATATAGACCAGAACCAAAACACCTTGCCTCCCCTGCCCATACGCCGCACGTGCTTCCCGCCCCGGATTCTCATGGCCTTCTTGTCCACGTACTTGGTAACTGGCTTGGGCACCTGGAGCTCAAATCGGGTCGCAACGCAACAAAACGAGCACTTGCTCGAGGCGAGACATGGGAAGTCCAGAAGTGTCCAACCGACTTGATTTTGACAGTGGATTAAGAATACGTGCGGAGCTTCGGGATCCACTAGTAGACATTGTAAACTCTCTGGCGCGGGCCTCCTGGACCACCAAAAAAAGGTTGATTTCAATTCTATCCCAATTGAAACTTTATCTGATTATTCCGGATGCGCACTCAATCAGACAGAGCGGCCACCTACAACTACCTTCTCGCTCAGACCGCCTTTTCTCCCGAGGTGTGACCTTCTGGGGGGGGGTGGGGGGGCGGGCAAGGTTTATTCATCCCATGCATCCAACGTCAACATTAAGTTCCTAAGGATCAAGCAAAGATGCCGTTGCAGGCTCGGCACGACATGGAGTGTTGCAAGAAGCAAGTTTAGACTTCGCGCCCTCTCCGCTGTCGCCAGCCTTCCCTTGTTTCGTCTGTGCTCCGCTTTACACTGTCCATTGCTTGCAAATGCCTTCCACTTTGTTTCCACCCTGTTCCGTTCCTTGTGGTTTAGTCCACCCGACCAACCCCAAATCCCAGCCAAACCAAGTCAACCAAACACACAGCCGAAAAACCCGAGCCGATTCCCAACCCGAAACGTCAAACATCCCCCCATTGAACCCCGTCCCGGGCTCTCTTGAGGTCAGCCATTCGCACGGATCCCAAGATTGGATTGCAAATTAACATGGAACCCAAAAGCAGACTCCCCCAAAGGAGAGTCCTCTTAAACCGAGGTTTCTTGGAACTCCCATCAAATGGAAGTGCACAGGGAAGCCTTCCCAAAAGGAAAATAGTTGTTCAAAGGAGAACTGTGCACTTCCATGTTTGATCGTGACACTCGCCTGGCAACCAGCGACCTGTTTTTGGTAAAGTGAAAATCTTTAGCGGGAACCACACCAACGAAAAGGAATTTTAAGGGTATACATGAACAACCAAGGGTGCAATCGACTCGACTGGATTGGCCTTTGCAATCCATGTACCATAAACTTGGGTCTGCAAAAATTGAACAACTGTCCATCCCTTGTTAGTCCTGTGTTTTGGACAACCATATGAGCCATCAACTAAGACCTCTGGCGATTTCCGCACCCGAGCGTTTAGTTCAGGTTGGGATTTCTCCACTGTGGAAGACCCAAGATTTGTGAGTTCCATTTGGCTTCCCTTGATTGGTACCCATGGTACCCTGAACATCCCTGAAAAAGAACACACCCAAGCAGGGCTGTGGTGGTAATGGAATCCACGAATCTGTGATACAGAAAGGGATTCCCAACGACATTTTCCCCCCATAAGGGGGAGATTCCAACTTGTATCACAGAAAAGGTTGGATACACAGTTCACATCCAAAAATTAACATTGAGAGTTGCTTACAACAGGAACTGATCAGTGCGGCTGGGCGCCCCTTGACCAGTTGGCGCACAATCCCCCGTGTTAGGTTAGAAAAGCCAAGCGTGCAAAGGGAATTTCATAACAGCTTCTCTCCCGGGTTTCATCTTTGCTTTCCCTACTTGGGTCCTGACCCAACCTTGGGGGTTGCTTAAGGGAAACCACAATGAACCACTCATTTAGGGATTCGAGTCCCATCTTGACACAAAATCAACTTGGGGGGAAAACCGGCCAAGCGGCTTCGGCTGCGAAACAACTCGCCTGCTTGACGATCTCCCGAACCTCGACCTGCGGTACTTCGATGATGCGCTCCTCGACTTCGCCACACACAAAAAACCTGCAAGCCCTTTTGGGTCAAACTAGCCAACCTGAAAAGGGTACCCGCACGCAAGAAAAAGAAACTGCAACCAAAAAGGGGGGGGCGCTCCAAGCCAAAACGGATTTCAAAGGTGTGCAAAATATTGTCCAAACATATATTTGGCTATTTTGTTGGAGCACTTTCCCATTTGTGCAAGGCTGCCGCGCCATTCGAACTGTTTTTTTGTTTTTGTATTGGGTCAGTCTTTGATCACAAAGTCCAACTGTTTGGCTCCCATAAGTTCAAGAATAAAGGAACTCCCCAGCCCACCCCCACCCTTGAGAATGTTGCTGAGCACTGGAGCATGCCGAACACGGACGTGGGGTGGCGCTTGCGTATTCTTACTGAAAGATCGGGCAACGAGCAACCTGGCCTCGGAACACAAAGCCACAACCTGTACATCCCGCTCAGTCCTCGTACGTGACTTGCGGCACCTCCACAATGCGCTCGATGTATTCGATTTGTGGAACCTCCACCTGAGGTGCCACTTCGGCCGGTGATTTTGAGGGTCGGCAGAAACAGCGTGGCTCTGGCACATTGGGACGGATCCTGCGTGCTCAATGTAGACGAATCCCCGGTTTCAGAATATAGGGGCGGGGGCCCCTCCAAAAGGACACCCCCCCTTTTTTCAAATAAACTAGGGTTGACCAATATGGGGTGAGCCAAAAACAAATCAGGTTGATCCATTCCGCCTCCTTGTCGATGTACTGGATCTCTACCTTGGGGACCTCCTTGATGACCTCGTGGTACTCGATCTCCGGCACCTGGCTATAGAGAGAGGGGGTTGCCTTCGGGCTAGGCCAGTGGGTCGCTCGAAGAGAAACCCCCAAAAAAGGGAACCAATTCGGAGTTGCCCGATTTGGAGACACGCCTAAAAGACCTGACTTTGCAAACGGTGACCTCCCTGGCAACAAGTGAGCTCTCAGGGCAGTCTTCAAGTTTGCCCGGGCAGGCGGCGCAACCTCGCAATACCGGAAGGTTGCCATCAAACACCCGCACAGGAACTCCACGTGCTTCGACACTCGGCTGTTCACTTGTCAGACTCAGCATGCGCGATGTAGCTAAGGGAAGGAGGTAGGGGGGATAGGGTCCACTGGCATCAAGCGCGCGTAGCGGTTGGGCAGCAGATGCTCCCAATCAGTGTCAACGACCAGAACCAACAATATCTGACCATGACAGCTATGGCAGGACCATAACATGAAATGGTAAACCCCAGGCTGGACCCGGACAACAGTGATGCCAAACCCGAAGGGTCCGCAAGTAGCCAGGCTGGACAGCTATGACGCCACCCCCAGGTTCGCCAGACTCTGAGGCTGCCAATAGCCGGACTCAAACAGATGTGACTTACTGCAAACCTGTCGTGTGCGTAAGTCACCGAAGCCCAACCCCGCCTCGATGATGTTGTCGTGGATCGCTGGCAGCACCACCTCAGTTGCAAGATCTGGGTTGATCCCGTCCGATCGGATCAAGTTGTCTGGAAAAGGGATGTCAAAGGAAGCCGTCGTGTTTTGGTCATTCTGCTCGGAGCACCCCTGGACATTCCTCAAACTCTGCAGGCCGATTCTCAACCGGCTGCTTCTGTTGCCGGGACAGGCTCGGGCATATCTCTACCTCCAACAACGGAATCCTCGGACATCCACTTCTGGGCCCTAGGAAAGCTCGGAAACCAATCCTATGGAGAACCCAAGGACCCTTACAACTCAAGGAAAAACCAAGACCTGAGACAAACTCAGGGAAACTCACGGAAACCCTCGGAAAGTCAAAGGAAACCTTTTTGCAGCTGAGGAAAACTGAACAAGAACCTGCGAAACACCTGAAGGCCCATGTGGCCCTTTTCAATCCCCCCAGATTCCGCTTACCGCGGGCCCCAGCTTCCACCTCCTGCGACACCAGCTGCACCTGCCGGAAAGGGCTCGGAGTCGAGCCATGCTTCCCGGTTGGAAGGCGACCAAATTATTCACACCTCGAGGCGCCGGAGGTGATGTCGGTGCCATTTGGTGTTTCGCCCCTGGGAAGAATAAACAACTATGTCCAAGAGTGAAATTGCTTTCTGTTATAAAACCAAAAACAATTAAGGGGAAAATGGGGAATAAAAAAAGGCAAATGGAGGAATTCAGGGAGCCACGAGACAGGGGAGGCTGTTTTCCCCATCCAGTTCGTTGTTGTTGTCTTGGACGGAGCCGAATCCTTTCGCAACTATCGCGCCCAATCTGACACGTATCCAGCTTGAAAGCATAAGGTGTTGGTAAAACCACGCAAAAAGGGGGAACCTGCCCTTGAAACCCCTTTCAATCGCCCAAAAACTTGGGCAAAGGAAGACCCCCAGCAGAAAGCTAGGTCAAGCAAGAAGATGAAAGCAACCCAAACGGGCAAAACCACATTAATTGTTCAGTCTGGCAATGATAAAACACCCTCTCGCATGATAAAACTCGACATGTTGCAGAGGTCCCCTTTAGAACCGTGCAGGTCACGCCCAGAACGGGGCCCAAGGCTTCAACCCCCATTCAAAAACTGCTTGACCCAACATCGATCATACAACTCCTTAGGTCAACAATGGTGGCTATATCAACTGCCATGAAAGCCGTGGTGGTTGGAAATCCGGAGGGGGCAACTTCTCAGGCCGCCCCTATCGTCGGCCTCTGGCTTCTCCACCTGCTTCTCCACCTGCTGCACTTCGTTCACCGGCACCTGCGTGCCGCTGGAGGCTTATTGCAAGCCCAGGGGCGAGAGATCTGATACATGGCCGTGGGTCAAAACCGTTGTGGTTGATCCCATTTTGGTTGGTAGGTGAAATCACCACCCCATCTTAGGACCTATTTTGGTGGGGATTGGGATGTTCACTGGGGGTACGCGGTTTTGACACATGCGACAGGCATTTCCACTTGCTAGGTTTCGGCTTGTGGATTTTTTTGAAGTTGGAGCATTCATTTCGCCAACTCAGTAGGACCTTTATCCTAGATATGAAACGAACAAGGAGGGCCCATTCCAAGTCGTCGACACCTTTCCAAGTCACGATTGAAACCAGGGGCTTTGCGGTCGTCTGAGTCGGGGCCCGGCATGTTGCAAATTGAAAACTGTGCACACAACACAGTCAATCCTGAAGATCTGAACTGGGTTGGACAAGCTGATCCCCAAAAAACGAAATTGATCCGCTGGATCCTGGGGAACTGTCCTGGTGTTCAAAGGCGGGTCGTACCAAAGAGCAGCGCGAACTCTTCGCAGGAAGTGTGCTGCTGTTCACAAGGAAACCAGCACACGGACAGCTGCATTTTCGCTTCACACTCGAACATGTGCTTGCTTTACATGGGAATAGGTCAAGCAAGCCTTCAGGAAGGATTTTCGAGCAAGCCTCTGGCCCGTTTGGGTAGCCGGTAGTCATCTGAGCTGTTCCTCCCACTTTGTGTAAGTCGGTACCCCTTAGCTTTCCAAGGGGAGAGCAAAGGAATCCAACCAATTTTAGCGGCTTTAGCGCTCCCCTGTTCTTGCAAGCACTCAGGTCCTATGCACAAAGTTTGGGAGGCTCATCCCCACTTTAGACGAATCTTTGGCAATCACCAATGCAGGAAGTCTTCTTTTACTCACTCCCTGCGTGCATAGAGCTTGAGCTGTTTGGTAAGATCATTTTGCTTGTTTGACAGCGAGTTCATGTCCCAACCACCCCGACAACCTTGCTGATTCTCGAAGTCTTGCAAGCCCAACCTTGGGTTAGCTAGAAACAAGCCCACCAGGTGCATGGGAGAACTAAGGTCGGAACGGGGCCTACTCCTATGTCACTTTAGGACTCCAAACACCAAACAAATGAACACACACTTAAACTCCAGATGGAGGGTGCTAATCTTTCGAGTACAACTGATGAGTCTCGAGTACAACTGATGAGTCTCGACTGGGTTCTGCTCGCGATGCACTCGGCTTCCCTCTAGCAGCGAACACGTTACCCGAAAGAACAAGAAGCACAAACAGCGCCGCAACCAAGGGGCCAAAAGGACTTTCAGAATCACTTGCAGGTACAGGAGTTTGCGTCCAAACTCCCTTCCGGCTCATTCTCACAGCTTCGTTGGCACGGCTAGAGAATGAGCTGCCGTGCCCCCTGCTACTAATAGTGGTGACAGGGTATTCTGTCACTCCGCACACACACGCCCCTCAGTGAGGGGCGAGAAGTCTCTTTTTCATGCTCAACTTTGTGTCCCTATCGTTTGCCAAAATATCCACCGCGGCGAGGGGAACGCGAAACTGCCCTAAGCCGCTCAGAAGACGGGACGAAAGATCACCACGATGAGCATTACGGGTGTCGCCATAGAAGACTGGAGGGAATTGCAAAGCAGTCGAGCGATCACTGTCAGAAATAGGGGGAGCATAGGTGAACATTTCCTCGACTCGGATTGCGTCCGAATTCTGCACGTCAACAAGTGATTGATCACGGGCATGATGTGTGGAGAAGGACTCCCTGCGAGAAAGAATGCGTTGGTATCCTTGATGCTGCCAGTCGCGAATGGTCCACGCTTGACTGTGTTCACCAGTCCCACCAATGGGATCAGTTACCCGCTTCCACTCCCGAAACGAGTTGTTTGGTAGGTCAGGTACGGTTTCTCCTGGTTGCCACAGCTGAGGTTGTCCCGGAGTATAGATCCGCACCCACTCCTGATCCTGCCAGACTGAATATTCGAGCCATGGGTACTGCTTTGCATCCTCGATGTCCATGCCGAAGTGAGAGACAGGGCGTACCGCGGGTTCAGATCCAGCTAGCAAAGAAACAGTCACCATGTACAACCATGCACAATCAGCAACCAAGCAAGGAAGCACAAGCATGAAAATCACCCTTTTGTGCCATGCCCAACACGCATCAGTCTAGTCATCATTTAGCTCGAAGATAGGCTTCTCCTTGGCGGTGGAGCTGCATGATTGGGTCGTAGGCAGGTATGGATCAGAGACCCCAATAGACTCTGGTGGTGCAACTCCACGAGATGCACGTACTGGTTGGTGTTGTGGGGATGCATGACGCGCGCGATCCGACAGTTGTTGAGAGATCCCATCTTGAAGACGAGTGAGAACCTCAGTGGAGAAAGCCGCCGCATCCGATGATCTAAGAATCGCATCCAACATTTGCGGTGACATACACAATGCCGAGGATTGCGTGGCCACGCTATGTTGATCAGGAAATGACATCGAGTCGAAATCGTGACCAGCTTGAGGGGCAGCGACTCGCCGATAGCCCTCTGTGGCCCAGTCCCTTTTGTACCAAATGCTGTTGTTGGGCTGCGCACCTTCTTGATCAGAATTTGGGACATAGAACTCCTTCCACTCTCTGTATGTATGAGGCGGAGGCGGAGCATCATGTTCGTCCTGTGGAGTCCATGATCCCGGATGAAAGATCTTGACCCACTGGGCATCTGGCTGTTGAGGATCCGGACACCACTCCAGCCACGGCATGACAAACACAAACCCTTGATGACAAATTGAGAGATGTACGGCTGCAGACTGCTATTACTACATGTGACACAACAGCAAACATGCAAGCAAACGCTTTTGTAGCAAGGCGCGGCTCAGGTGTCGAAGTCACTCGCCCCAATCAAATTGAATTGAATATCCAGGAAAGACGAGGACGAACATCAGCCACCATCTGAGTTCGAGGATGCCGACGAAGAGGACAGTCCAGCGTACATGAGGTCCGGTGATCCCGAAGCGAAAACTCGACGTGCAATGTTGGGGCGCGGATGACCGAGCCGTTGATATCCTCTGGTGACCCAGTCACGATACTGCCATGTATAGAAGGACGCATATGAGACCGGCTGGGAAACAGAGCCCATATTGGTGCCGCCCGTGCTGTCATACACGTCGAAGTGGTAGAATTTGCGCCATTCCCGATAGATAATTGTGTCCTCCAGGGCCGGTCCCAAGGTGTTTTCGGCGACTGGTTGCCACGGACCAGGTACATAGACCCGAATCCATTCGACGCTTGTGTTCGCAGGGCCATTGACGATGTCGTACTCAAAGTAGCGTGGTAGGGTCCATCTTGCAGTGCCATATATTGAAGAATTGAACATATCAACCCGGGAAGCCGCTTTGAGGCAAAAGGGAAGCGGCGAAAACATGGAGACGGAAAGCACAACACAAGACAAGACAACCCAAGTTGATGCCGCAATCAAATCAGGCACAATCGCATCATTTTAACCGACGTGTTGCTCAAGTATCAATCCGATTCGTTCCAAGGATCATAGAATGGTGGTGGAGAAGGTTCCCGCCACGCCCCATCCGGAACTGAAGACTCCGACGAGGAAGTAACTTCTTCATGCACGAGCGCCGCCGATCCAATGGATGGCAGTGGAACGCCAAGGCGTTGATAACCCTGTGTTTCCCAGTCTCGGTACTCCCACACGTGGTATGACACATACAAAATGGGCATGACATTGGGGTCCGCAGCTGTTCCTCCGGTGCTGTCTGCGGGCAAGTACACGTCAAAGTGATATGACTTGCGCCACTCCCGATACGTGGAAGCGTAGTCTGGGGCACGTCCCAGAGTAGCTGTGGCTACGGGTTGCCACGGACCCGGTGTGTAAATTCGAATCCATTCCACTCCTCTCTCGATGTGGTACTCGAAACAGTGCGGGAACATAACAGCACAATGGGTCGTCACAGGGCCGCTGAAAGGAATCGCAAAGCCACCAAGTCTGCAGCGAAACACTCATGCCATGACAACCCTGACGCAATGAGAATGTGTTGAACAACGCAATGCAAGGCAACTTTTCAAACTGAAGGCGGGACGAATCCACAAGGTCTATAGTATACGACACCTATGCTTCACCGCCGCTGATGCCGCACACACCTGCAATGGTAATGTCCTGGGCGGCGACGAGCACAGGGTGAAAGACACTTCCGTCCATGAGGTAGAAAGGCATGACAGTAATGCTTGCAACTTGTCAATGGGGACAGCGATGGACGGGTGGCTCGTTTTGAAGGGAACACGGTGAAGGGTCGCCAAGATCTCCTCAGGGCAGAAGCGGATGCTGTTCGAGAGCGTTTCGGAGAACGCGTGAGACTGCGTAGATCATCATCACGGAACTGGTCAGCGCTGCATATCGAGCGGCGTGTGCGCTGCGATTTCACTGTAGCAGGGCAGGACTGTCCTCGAGGAGAAGGGCTCGAGGAGGCGCGCAATGAGGGCATAAACTGTGGGTGTAGAATCACCGGTGGTGGTGGCGGTGGAGGAGGTGGAGGTCGAAGAAGTATTGGAAACCTTGGCGGGGTTGGAGGTGAAGCAGTCCATCGAACTGGTCTGTCAAGCAATGTACCAGGCCCGTGAAACTGTAACCACGTCGGCTGCTCTCCATGGGTCCAAGTAATGTATGTCTGCACATCTTGCTCCAACATGATTTGAGCAGCTCAGCCATGCACGAAATCCAAGTCATCAACAACTTCCATGACAGCCAACAATGCCCTCACTGGCAGAAATGTCATGTAGGTCCTTCAAGTCATTACTGCAAAGTATGCAAGCCATGTCATGCAAACAAGTGAGAAAGGAATCATGCGATCTGCCATGACTGCAATCCAAACCATCTCGACAACATGCAACGCTCACAGAATGCACTGCCACGTCCTACGGACTAGTCCTCCGGTAGTCGCTGGTTCTTTCGATGCACAGTGCCCTAAGCGCGAGCCTCAAGTTGCTGGTAGACCTTCCAGGCCTGCTTGAC